GTTGATAGGGGGTTGGGGCGAGAAGTCTGGGTAGGCTCTTTTAGCCTGCAAAATGAGCCATGCGGAAGGCACCACCGAGCTGGCATCAGGATGGTGGATAGTAAGGAGTTGCAAATGGCTGTGTAGTGAAAGGCAACTGATCATCAATCCCGTATCCATTTACTCATTTTAAACCATCGAAACATCAAATAATGAAGCTTAAAATGAGTTTTGCTTTCTGCCAAATGTTGGTATGAGGGTTGGGCCACTTAAGAAAACCTCCCAAGTATCATTTTCTCAATTTTTATTTGGCAGTTAGATTGCAAAGTATGTGGTATGTGAAGACATGAAACTCATTTTCGAGTTTGTACCATTGCTTCTGTCTCACCGAAGGAATTAGATGCATTAAATCGCCCTTTTAATGATTGATAAAGGAGAACGGTCGCGAGAAGTACGGGAAGCCTGCAGCTCCTTGACGTTTGTTCTAATTAGGTGAGTCTCTTCGATGCCTCTTGACTAGGTCTCCACGATGGTGACATGGAGCCCTGGCATTATTCTTCCAGTTCTTACCTGCGTTAAGCGAGTCGGCTAAGCGATTTCCTGACTTGTGCGCCTTATTGTGACTAGACTGTGATTGAGGAGACACTTTGGTGGCAGTAGTGCGGATTATGCTAGAAATTTGAGGTATTTTGCCAATGCCACAAGCAAGGCTGTCAACTTCGCCAGGTGCCTCTGCAGTGTTTGGTCGAAGACATGACAGCTCGTGTTGTAAGAGTAGAAGTAACTGCTTCAAATGTTCCATAGACTACTTCACTTTCGAGTTCCCCACAAAGACGCCTAATAGTGAGGTTTGACGAACAAACAATTTGACCGATGTTTTGGGTGAATTTTATGCAATCTTGCAAAAAGTGTCAAGCTAAAACATCTCTTCAGTGAATATTTCATGGTAAGCCTTCGATAAGGCGAAACGGTGTGTGACAAACAAGTTCGTGAGACTTTTTTTTTGGAATTTGCACAGCATACGCCAATCTATAGGCACGATATCCTTTCGCCGTTCGCCTTACTTTGAACCCTCCTTGCACCCACTTATCAGATACGTGTGATACCAGCCTGGCTGCCTTACAAACCCACCCTCATCCGCTGACGGCGCCGCAGCGGAAGCTCCTTGTCCAATATGTTCCATGACAGTCATTTAGCGAAGGGCTAGTATCAAAACATAAAGCCAAGAGATGGTGGTATAGATGAAGATAAAATCACTCCAAGGTAGATGCTGCATCACCCCGAGAAGTTCTTCTACTCTTGACAGCAGTGCAAAATGACTTTTCACTACTCCCCAATCGCCGATCACTATTTGGAAATGCTGCCTGAGCTTGTGGTGTGCAGGTCAATTTTTAGTGCTGCTTGATATGAGTGATGCAGGAAAAATTGGTTCTCTCCTAGACAGGTTTCATATTCAAGTAATTATTATTTCCATTGGATATTAGCACTAGGCAATCACACCACTTTTAAGAGAATTAGGGGAGACAGTTGCCAGATGGGATGGTGGCAGGAACGAAGACAATCGAGGTTAGTCAAATCGTTGCATAAAAGTGCTACTTGTGACAGGATTGTTGATGGTTCTTTGCTTCATTTGTCTTACATTTGAGTTGTATCGTTTAAGATTGGCCGACGTCTGCCAATGTCATTACGATCATACTTAATAAAATAGCTCTTCAACTGTTGCAATGCCATGAATTCCTTTCACAATTAGCTCTCTGTTTTCCATGGCGACTTTTGGACCAATCGTGTTTCCGTTATTGTCGAGTCCGTGTGGTAAGAAATACAGATTTTGCTTCTCTTCAACGGTGCCTTTTGCCTTCCAGCTTTGTTAATCGGAAGTGTGGAACAGCTGCTCTGGGCACCCGAGAACGGTCTCCTGGCGGGCACCTCAAGAGGCACTCTCCTGAGAATTCACTGGCCACTCCTTAATAACGTCATTACTGGTGATGATAGTGATATTGACGGTGCTTTTGATGGTGCTTCTGTCGCGGCCTCCTCACCCATAACAGCCCAGGCTCTGCGTTTGCATCGGGGACCAGCAGAGGCGTGTTTCAGTCTCCTCTCAGCGTCTCTGAGTCTGGGCAGAGGATTTGTGCATCCACTGCGTCAGTGTCTTGCAGAATGCTGTCAAGATGGTAGCGTCAGCACCGTTGTCAACTCCAATACGTACTTTCTTGTCTCGTTGTTTACCGATGACGGCGTCGGTGATGTGGGAGAGTAGAAGAAAGGACTTCCGTGATTTCTCTTTGTATAAAACCATTGACTTAGTATAACCGTTACACAGTAGATGGACTTCCTCAGGTAGGTGGCTGTGGCTGCTCTTAGGAATTCGGTCATGTCTCCGTGAATGGGTAATTTCGATAAAAATGCCATTTTATGCGATGAATTTAAAGCAAATGAAGACCTCATGGATGATCTTGTGGTTTGTGTGCTCCGTAGTTGACGCACAGTCCGTAGTTTAGTTCAGGCGGTCCTAAACGCAGTGACAGACGTCGGCGTGTGATGGTGAATGAATTTGTTAATTTTGAATCCATGAGTATGACCTCAGGCCTAATATGGTGAGGACGCCACTAGCCAGTGATGCTTTTGAATAGTGTCTAAGTTCCAAAGATGGCCAGGGGTGCGTCTGTCAGTGATCCAAGATGACAGTCTTGATACGACCTGTGGCTGGATGAGCTTGAAACGGTAAAATCACAATTCACATGCGCCGACGACTTTGAAAAGTGGAATTACGTTAAGTACCAATGACGAATTGGGACGGGCTGTTCCCTGGAATGTTTCACCTTACTCGGTGATAGTTGTATGGATATAAGCGCGTGAGTGAAGCAGTTTGTATGACTTACCATCTGCTTTTTTTCCCGGGCAAATTCAAAAGATCGGACTTGAATTAACTTCTCCAATTAGTGGCTTTGCTTTGACAAAATGCAACGGCAGAAGAGTCAAAGGCGTTGCAGTATTTCTGAAACGTTTGCCGCACTTCTTCCAATTTTTTTACAGTTCTACCCACCTACATCAGACGTCCTTCTTCTCTAATAATTGACTTTTCGGTTTAAAGGTGGAGCCTCCTTTGCGTCTTTATTAAATGTCGTCAAATTTTTGTGAAGGGGTAGATTTTGGCTGGCGCTTCTGATCGTGCAGACGTAAGTGAGGCTCTCAAGTTACCACCGAGGATGATATGGGGAAGTCTGTCGATGGTACTGTTGCGCTACCGCTGAACGAGTTGGAAGTCCATTATCAGACGAGGATGGAATGGCATAATTTCCCTACCCAACTAACGTGAGTATTGCAACGCAGTGGGTCGGAGGTGGCCGCAAGGTTATGTGCCTATTCGGAAAAGCGTTGAAGCATGCTTGATATCACCTGCCTCCTGGTTACTTTGCTCATCAG